TATATATATATATATATATATATATATATATATTATACTGCCTTATCTGTTTTATAACTAATTACCTTCTTATTAATCTCATCAACTTGCAACATATTTGGAAGGAGAAAAACATGGGGAAAATGAATTCAAAGAAGATTATTATTGACTGCATGCCATTAAAAAGATAAGACCTCCATGGACATATCTTGGAAGCCATTGAATCTTACCTTAATTAATTAGGTACCGTCATACCCTTTCATCCATTATTAGGTCTATAAATATAACCTTATTCTCATTTAGGTTTATACCTTCAGCTTACAACTCCCATCGTTATACATACCCACATACTCAGCCTTCGTTAAAATGATCTCTGAAAAATTAGTACAAGAAGAATCAAAGAAAATGAGAGAAACAGACGCAGAAAACGATCAACAAACAACGTGTACGTGTACGTGCATGGATATGCTCCATAAGATTGCGAACTTGGTGTTGGGAGAGAACCATGAGGCTAAGAAGACAAAGGTTAAAGGGAAAGTGGTGCTGGTGAAGAAGAACTTGCTCGATTTCAATGACTTGGGTGCGTCGATTCTTGATCGAGCTCATGAGTTGTTTGGCCAGCGTATCTCTATCCAATTCATAAGTGCAACTCATGCTGATCGCAGATCTTCAGGTTTGATATTTCAACTTCAGATATCTTCAGGCATTTTATTCGATATTACGCCTATTCTATTCGGTTAATGTGTTACTAATCTCAACAATATCATCATATCCTTGTTTTATAAGATAAACAAACAACAATGGATCATTGCCTTCGAAACTAGCTAGTTGAGTCTAGCATATATATGCACAAATTAACACAAAATTACTCGTGCAGTGCAGTGCATGCATGCTCTTTGGAAAATTTGCATTTTGACTAGAGAAGAAAGTATTTGCTTCCATGAAAATGCACTTCTTTGGCACAAAATACAACGAAATTGTTTGGGTTCTTTGAGGTGTAGTAAAACGACCATTTCCCTTCACCTCCTAACCATTTCTCTTCCGAGTTGACCGCATATTACGAACCTAACTAAAAGACAAAAAATGTCAAATTCAACCAGTTTACCTGCGGATATGGCCACAATTACATATCCGGCCGTCGCAATTGCATATTTGTGTTGAATTTTTGGTCTTTAGCTAGGTCCACAATATATTGCTGAAGTGGTGACATTTGGGTCAACCCGAGAAAGAAATGGTTAAGAGGTCAATTTGAATGAGAAAAATGATCATTTAACTCAAGGACTCGTGTAATTCATACAGATCACCTTTGGTGAGGTTGAATTCACATAGGGACACCGCACAACCATAGGCCCTTCTGTTACAAACTCAACAGGTTATAAGTTAAAATGAGTATAAACTATAAAATTTTGAAATTTTATGAAATCGACTGTGAAAATAAATTTCATTACATTAAATGAAAAGTAAACCTTGGATCGACTTTGTTGCCATTAGTTTTTCGTATATATACGTGGTCAAGGTTGACACGAATGTTTTAGATTTCGTGCATGCCCAAGACAATTACTGAACGGATTCGGAGATGGTTGTCGCAACTCGCAACCATCTAAATCAGATCTCAAACGTTATGTGAGCGGTAAACAATTGATATCGTTTTATATTTTTCTATTTTATTCAATAAAAGGGGTATGATTATGGTTTTTTGTCATTTACAGTTTTGTATACATATGATGTATAATAATCAGCCAGTTAACTGAATAGGTACTTTCATCATAGACTATCAACTGCTCCTTTGATGGCTTTCATTGAAGAGCTCAGCTGTTATCATTCCATTAATTAGTTAATGGCTGCTATGGCCTTTCTTTATATAACATGTGATATGTACTTAAACCTACTACATTTTCATAATTGCACATGAAACCTACTACTTTTTTTTTCAAAGAAAATTAATTATTAGCCTGAATTTTCAAAGAAATGATACCCCATATTTGTCTGGTTCAATTATCATTTGATTTAATATGGGATAGGTGTCGTTTATCAAACATTTATTCGGTAAGTGTTTACGGGTAAAATTTAATACTATTATTTACTCACCGGTAAGATTTTAGTCCACCAAAACAATATCGTATGCAACAATTTACCCGGTAAGTGCTTAGCATGGTAAGAGTCGTCACCCTCACTTACCAAGTAAGACTCTTGGTCCTGATACCAGAGTCAACAATGTACGTTCTCACATCGGAACACATGTATTATATAAAGACTCAACATATACTTGATTTTAAGTATTTGAAATAATTTATGTCTACGTATGTTACTTAAATACATGCAAAAAAGTACCAGTATAAAAGTAATATACATAGGACGATAGAATGATCCTCAGATAGGGTTTTCAAAAACTAGTTTGGATCACGTACCTTAAAATCGATCATAAATACGATAATTTATCTGTCTTTTTCTATTCGATCACAAGTAAAAATTACAACCACAAGGGTGGTGTCAAAAATGACTCAGATTCGAATCCAAAGAGGAATAAAAAATCCCCTTGTGGCTACGAAGGTTCAAATCCAGTGACTCCGGACTATTTGGAAAGACAGTGGTTGCCCGGCTCGCATATAACAGGTCGGATATCGAGGTTAATCATATATATATATATATATATAGGATCTGACAACAAAAAGACGAGTCAAACTAATATAAATATATAAACATATGAAGTTCAATAATGACTCATGTTTGAAGTTTGATCTTATGGGAACACTGATGTTCTTTCCACTGATATATTGTATTTTACAGGTATACAGCATGTGATCAGGGGGGACCTAATCAATGATTTATGCTATACAATTAGAATTATATATGCTCCAATATTTTAAGCATCACGAAAATTTCTAAGTAAACGAAATACAAATACAATGTTAGAATTAACATCGTAGTTAAATACACCTTAATAATCAAACATGCAAAAAGTAAGAAAGTAAACGAAAAAGGTGATGATGTTTATGGGTTTTCTGTTGCAGATAAGAGCTTGAGAGGGAAGCTTGGAAAACCAGCAATCTTAGAGGACTGGATTAGCACCATTACCCCATTGGAGGTGGGAGAATCGACGTACGAGGTCATATTTGAATGGGATGAAGAGATAGGATTACCAGGGGCGTTTCTGGTAAAAAATCTTCACCATAGTGAATTTTATCTTAAGACACTCACTCTTGAAGATGTTCCTGGTCATGGTCAAGTCCATTTTGTTTGTAACTCATGGGTTTACCCTGCCGAACGCTACACGAAAGATCGCATATTCTTCACTAATAAGGTGCCCGGCCTTACTTTACTTGCATTTGTCTTTCTTACGGTAAAAGTCACCACAACAAAAATGTCTTATAAAAAGGTTGATAATATAATATAGTTTGGTCTAAAAAATGCATGAAGAACATTGAGGTCCAAGTTTGAGTTTTTAAGAGAAGTCATGTAACACGGTGCAGGCATATCTTCCTGGTGAAACACCTGAATTGCTACGTCCTTACAGAGAGGAAGAGATGGTAATCTTGAGAGGAAATGGGACTGGGGAGCTTAAAGAATGGGACAGGGTTTATGATTATGCCTTGTACAATGACTTGGGAGATCCAGACGACGAAGAGAAAATTCGCCCAGTTATTGGAGGGTCCTCTGAGTACCCTTACCCTCGTAGGGGTAGAACGGGCAGAGCACCAACCAGATCAGGTTAGTTAGTGTTGGAGTACATGTCGGTTAGAACTGAACCATTATTTCTTGTCAACATGTACGTGTTGGTACATTTACTCCCAGAAAAGAAAAAAAGTTTTTTTGAAGAGTAATCCAACGGAGTTCATTTCTCAAGTTAGATTGAAAGATGTATGAGACGATGACTATAAATATTACAAGTTAAAGGCTATATATGCTTTTTGGCTTTTGACAGATCCTAAAACAGAGAGCAGGCTTTCACTTATTAAAAGCTTAAAGGTATATGTTCCAAGAGATGAGCGGTTCGGACACTTGAAGAAGTCTGATTTCCTGGCTTATGGATTAGAATCCATCCTTAAAGTCCTTCTTCCTGAGTTTGAGGCTCTAGCTGATGATACCCTAGATGAATTTGACTCGTTAGAAGATGTCTTGAAGCTTTACGATGGCGGAATCAAGCTTCCTGAAGGCCCTTTACTTGATAATCTTCTAGAAAAAATCCGTTTTCAAATGTTGAAAGAACTTGTTCGATCAGACGGCGAGGGACTTGCAAAATACTCAACACCACAAGTCATTGAAGGTACCAATTCTACAGGACTCATATTAGTACCCATGGATTAGTCATTTGTGTTATATCAATATCACCACCACACTTTTAGTTTACACACCTGTTGTCAATCATTCTTGCAAATAAAACACACTTCGATCAATTTCGTACTTAAACATGTTTTGAGTTAAAAAAATCATTGTTATTCTTGATTCCAATATTTCTTATGATGTTCCGACCAGCCGAAATATCTGCTTGGAACACCGATGAAGAATTTGCAAGAGAAATGCTGGCTGGAGTCAATCCTGTTTCAATTCAACTTCTGAAAGTAAGCTCTAAGTTCCTCTGGATTACATTTTTCCATAAAGGAAAATAACACATTTATGTGAAACAGTCTAACTTTATATATCTAAGAAATTTTTTGAGAACAACCATTGTTAATTTGTTTTTTAATCCTTCAAATTTTGCAGGATTTCCCTCCAACAAGCAAGCTCGATACTGAAGTCTATGGCAACCAAAATAGTTCAATAAGATCACATCACATAGTGGAACATCTAGATGGTTTAGAAGTAGAGAAGGTAAATTCCTAAGCTCGATTCATTAATGAATTGAACTTAATAAGTAATTGTAGTTGAAACATCATTCAAATTTGTCAATATATATACAGGTACTAGAAGCCAACAGGCTATTTATATTGGATCATCATGACTCACTAATGCCATACGTGAAGCGAATAAATGCAACTTCGACCAAGATTTATGCTACACGAACTTTGCTCTTGTTACAAAAAGATGGAACTTTGAAACCAATAGCCATTGAGTTAAGCTTGCCTCATCCAGACGATGAGAAGCTTGGTGCCATTAACGAAGTATACACCCCAGCTAAAGATGGAGTGGAAGCCGCAACTTGGCAGTTGGCTAAAACATATGTAGCCGTGAACGATTCTGGAGTTCATCAACTCATCAGTCACTGGTAAAGTTCAGTAACTCAATGAATTATCCTTCACTAATTACAATTCCTTCTACATTTTTGAACTCATCTTCTATATCCATTTCAAACTCTGAAGGTTGAATACACATGCTGTTATCGAGCCATTTGTGATAGCGACAAATAGGCAACTAAGTGTGCTCCATCCAATCAACAAGCTTCTCCACCCTCATTTCCGTGATACAATGAACATCAATGCAGCTGCTAGGAATATCTTGATCAATAGCAAAGGTGTTCTTGAGAGAACCTTCTTTCCTGGGAAATATTCAATTGAAATGTCTTCAAAGATATACAAGAATTGGGTGTTTCCCAACCAAGCTCTCCCAGTGGACCTTGTACTGAGGTATGCAGTTCATCTTTATCGAAAAAAGGAGGAAAACTACATAGATTTATTTTAAATAGAAAAGAAACATCATTGTACTTGATACATTTTACTAGTATTACAAGTCACTAAAAGATGCTTTAATTCGATATATAGGGGAATGGCAGTCGAGGACCCAAATGCTCCTCATGGTCTTCGCTTACTGATCGAAGATTATCCATTCGCTGTAGATGGGCTTGAGATATGGTCAGCCATTAAAACATGGGTTGAGGAGTACTGTAAGTTTTATTACAGAAACGACAATATGGTGGAAAACGATGCTGAACTTCAATCCTGGTGGACGGAACTTCGAGAGGAAGGACATGGTGACTTGAAAGACGAGCCATGGTGGCCCAAAATGAGTTCCGTTCAAGATGTGATCGACACTTGCACCATAATCATATGGGTGTCTTCTGCTCTTCATGCAGCTGTAAACTTTGGGCAATACCCTTATGCTGGTTATCCTCCAAATCGTCCAACTCTAAGCCGTAGACTTATGCCCAAGACTTCTGAGTACGACGAACTAATGAAGGACCCTAAGAAATTCTTTTTGAAAACCATTACTCCTCAACTGCAGTCACTTCTCAGTGTTTCTTTGATAGAGATACTGTCGAGGCATACCTCAGATGAGATCTACCTGGGCCAAAGAGAGTGTCCTGAGTGGACCATGGATGCAGAACCGTTGCACGCGTTTGAGAAATTTGGCAAGAAGTTGAAAGAAATTGAAAAAAGAATAAAGGATTTGAATGAAGATCACGAGAGGCTAAAGAATAGGTTTGGACCTGTAAAGATGCCATACACCCTACTCCACCCTAGTAGTCAAGAGGGACTTACGGGAATGGGCATACCTAACAGTGTCTCGATATGAAACATCTTAATTTACCTAATACTGTATTTATACTTTTGTGTTGGCATTTCAACTACTATTAGTTTCAAACCTTATGCAACATATTTAGCATTCTTTTTCCATTTGGAGTGTTATAATTTAATTATTGTTCGTATATCTTAATTAACGGTAAGTTTGTTTTATGATGTACAATGATATCTACCTTTTGAAACATTGATTAGTTGGTTCTTAACAATTGTCTTGTTCTAATTAACCGCAAAACAAACTCCTTATGTTGAAGTGCTTGTTAATGTCATAGCACAAATGTTCAACTTGTTAGTTTGATGGATTGAGGCTGAAGAAGGAAGCCATTTGAGAGAGCATTATCTGATATATTGGTAAATTCATCATCTTACAAGTAAAACAAAGACACACCCACTAAACTAATATCAAATTACAAAATTGATCCCTTAACTATACATTAGGTACGTATAGCTAACACCTCCCTCAAGCTCAAGGTGGATCATGAGAAATCAACTTGAGATTGTGAACGAGACTTGATAAACAACCCGAAAGATCTAAGAGCATTACTGAAGATGTCTACAGTTTGTTAGGTGGAAGAGACTAGATGGAGGCGAACAGGGTTACGAACAACATGCTGGCTGATGAATGACAATCGATCTCAATGTGTTTTGTGCGCTCACGGAACACATCATTTTGAGCAACACTAAAGTTAGCACACCGGATAACAACGGGATGACTGAGGTACACCCATGTCGGACAGAAGCCACCTTAACCACAACAATTCCTTAGTGGTGTCGGCTAAAGCATGATATTCAGCCTCGGTACTAGAGCGAGAAGTGGGAGATTGTTCCTTGTTGCATAAGAGACGAGGGAATCACCAATAAAGAAGCAGTAACCATTGTAGATCAACAATTAATAGCTCGAGGGATGATGAAGAAGAGAAGTATAAACCATGAAATAAAGTAACTTTAACATACTGTAATATCCGCAAGACAACATAATAATGAGAAGTTCGAGGAGCAGCCATGAATTGGCTGACAATATGAACTGTAAAAACTATGTCAGGACGTGTGACAGTGAGATAAATTATAGAATCTACCAACTGATAGACAGCATGTAGGATCTGAGAGGAGACTACCATCACTTGGGGTAAGCCTAAAGTTTGGTTCAAAGAGCATAGAGGATATCTTGTTGTTAGTGATATAGCAGGTGAGATAGATCAAAAACATACTTGGCTTGGCATAGATAGATCCCAGAATCCCGAGGTAAAACTTCAAGACCAAGAAAGTAGTGAAACAGCCCCAGATCTTTCATCTCAAAGTGTTGATGAAGAGATGCTTTTAATGAAGTAATACCTTGAATATCACTACGAGTGATAATCATGTCATCAACATATAAGAGAAGAACAATAGTGTCAGATGAGGTAGTTTTGGTAAAGAGACCAAAACATCTTAAACCATGCCCGAAGAGCTTGTTTGAGCCTATAAAGGGCTTTGCATAAACGACAAACATGGTTGGGAGAATGTGAAGTTCCCCGTGGAGGCTTCATGTAAACTTCTTCAGAAAGATCCCCATTGAGAAAAACATTCTTCATGTCCATTTGATCGAGTGGCCACTTATGTACAATGACAATGGTTAGAAGACTAAAAACAGAAGTCTCAATTGTAACCTTTGGCAACCAGACAAGCTTTGTAGTGATCAACAAAACCATTAGATTTTGTTTTGATCTTGTATACCTATTTCGAACCAATAACTCCCTTTCTAGGGGGATTGGAACAAGATCCCAAGTGTGAGCTTTAGAGAGAGCCTGCAATTCCTCGAACATAACTTGTGTCACACTCCGCTAAAACGGAAACACGAGATGTAGCAGGTAAGCGAGTCACAACAGCAGTTAATAATAACACCATTCAAGTTTTACAAAAATAAATCAAGTTTAACACCCATAACCAAATTGGGATAGAATACTTCTTTTAAAAAAACTTCAAATGCGAACTTAATCGGTATCGCCCCAAACATGCTCCAAAAACTTCATTTCTTACTTATTTCCTGAAAAGCATGGAACATAAAACAAGTCAACTACAAAGAGTTGATGAGCTCACGGGTTTTCATATGCACAAAACATTACCATGCATAAATCATTTACTTGCAAACTTACATAAACTTTTGCACTTAATAAATGTAAATCTACCACGATTTTTAAACTTGAGACGCTACAGAGCCTTACCTGACCAATGTGCCCCATTATTTTACGAACGACCATAAGTAGCCCGTACACTTCATTAGGTCCTACAGTTCGTAGTAGTACTAATTCAGCGGTGGTCCAAATTCCACATGATTAGACTAAGAAAACATAGGTAATGTGCACCCCTTTCTGGGTGAGACTGTCAACGCAATAGCGGCTATTCACAATTACCACGGCCCGGGGACATACCCGAGTTAACAAGTAGCGTTTACGGACGGGGACTTTATTTGGAAACATACTCCCAAGCACATCAATTTAGCATTTATATCATAGTGCAAAACAGTCAATATCTCATGACATAAACAAGCTTGACTAAACAGTTCTTTAGTCCAATTGTTTTCAATTAAACTTGACTAAACAGTTCTTTAGTCCAATGGTTTTCAACAAAGCTTGACTAAACAGTTCTTTAGTCCAATTATTTAATAAATAAACAGTATAGTTTGCTCAATCCCATGCTTTTCCCCCAGTTAAATAAACAAAATACATTAAAAGTGGGGCCGTAAAAACTCACTGGTTTGAGGATGAATATCCAAGAACTTGGTGACATTTGAAGCGTTAAACGTCCGCCCTAACCTTCCTAGACAGACCAACATCCAGAAATTAGATCACCTATGGGTTCTAGACAAAGATAAAGTCAAATTGTATTTTATGTAATGCCAACGGGTTTTTATGAATTAAAGTTGATATTTTAATATTTATTCTAAAAAAATAGCCCAGAAGTTATATATATTAAAAGAAATCAAAATCCTTTATACAAAAGCTGATTTTTGGACAGATTATAAATTCTGTTTCTGGTATTTTTGGGTTTCACAAATCACTATAAATAGGAATCTTCCAAAAGTCATTTTATGTCCAACTTTTTACATCATTCAAAATAATGACTTAAGCCGACTTTTCCCAAATAACAAGAATTTTGAGTAAGTTTAAGTCACTCATTATTACCTTACAACCTTGAGTTACACAGCCCTCAAAACAGATTGCACACTCTTCGAGTGACAGCCATTTTGGGGGGGGGGTCTAAACTCATCATTTTTCAAGGATTTTAACTCTGTTTTCAAGCTAACAAATAAGGTTAACCTCCAAAAAAAGTATTTCCCGATTCCATTGAGTTTTGAGGAAGATAGGACCGGTTTAAAATGCATGCACGATATTGCCATACACTACTAGAAAACCAGGTATCAGCGACGACTATCAGCGAGGGAATTTTTCCCTCGCAGATCAGTGAGGGATCAGCGAGGGAAATGACAAAAAACACATTCCCTCGCTGATCCCTCGCTGATC